CTTTACATCTTTTGTTGTTTAGGGACCTAAAGCCCAGCCTGTTGTTCCAAGAGCTGGAGAAGGGAAAGAAAAGAGCCCAGCTGTTACTGCAGTACATCCCACACGTTATTCCACATAAAAACGTGAGTGAACAGGATTCTTTGATTTAAGGATGTGTCATTTTCTTTTTCAGTTGTGTAAATTATTTTCCTCTGCATTTTAGAGGGTGCTGCTGTTCAGGAACATCGTAACAAAGGAAAAGGAAAGTTTAGGATTGGTAGAAACAAGTTCTGCTTCTCCACACGTCACCCATATTACCATCCGTCGCTCGCGGATGTTGGAGGTAACAAACAAAATCGAAAATAGATTTTGAGAGCAAACTTTGAAAGAGTTTAAATATATATATCTTACCAAAACAATGCTTATTTCCTACTTCTTAGGATGGATATGATCAGCTCCGTCGGCTACCGGCGAATTCTATAAAAGGCGTTATTCGTGTGAAGTTTGTGAATGACTTGGGAGTGGATGAGGCTGGTATAGACCAGGATGGTGTCTTCAAAGAATTTCTAGAGGAGATCATTAAGAAAGTGTTCAATCCTGCTCTCAACCTGTTCAAGGTAATGGGCTGTTTTCAAACCGCCACATATCTGCTGCTGACTCTGATTACACTGTTTCATATGATATGATATTTATTTTTCCATAGACCACCAGTGGAAATGAAAGGCTTTATCCTTCGCCCACATCTTACATCCATGAGAACCATTTGCAACTGTTTGAGTTTGTGGGAAAGATGCTCGGGAAAGCTGTCTATGAGGTACATTGAATTTCTTAAAAAAACAAACTCTTTTCTTGTTCTCTCTCTGAAGGTAGTGTTGTAGGTGATTTTTAAACGATTGTATCTTGATTACCTCTGTGTATTCAGGGCATTGTGGTGGACGTCCCGTTTGCCTCCTTCTTCCTCAGTCAAGTCTTGGGTCACCACCACAGCACTTTCTATAGCTCCATTGATGAGCTTCCTTCTCTGGACTCAGAGTTTTACAAGAACCTCACTTCCATCAAGGTCAGAGAAAAATTACACTTGAAGTTTTCTTGTCAACCTCACGCTGTCGTATTTTTGTTTGCTAATATCAAGTGAACATTTCGTATCTGATTTGTCAGCGCTATGATGGAGATGTAGGGGATCTAGGCCTGACGTTATCCTATGATGAGGATGTCATGGGGCAGGTAAAGATGGAAAACAGAGAAAATATACATAAATAAATGAATAAATTAATTTAAGTGTGCAAAGTTACTTTTCGTTTTCTCCTACAGCTTGTTTGTCATGAGCTGATGCCTGGGGGGAAAACGATGCTCGTCACCAATGAAAACAAGTATGTACATGCGGATTTAGTTGTATTATTTAGTTGGACACTGACCCATGCTAAGTTTAAAAGTGACCTTTTGCCGCCGTGTAATCATCGTCTAATTCTGACCTCAACTCTACCATATCCTGCAGGATCAGCTACATCCACCTAATGGCTCACTTCCGGATGCACACACAGATTAAAGAGCAAACTGCAGCTTTCATTCGGGGCTTCCGCAGCATCATTAACCCTGAGTGGCTGCACATGTTCTCCACGCCTGAGGTTCAGCGCCTTGTCTCGGGAGACAATGCAGAGATTGATCTTGATGACCTCAAGTATATAACATTTCATCATTGTCTTTTTTCATCATGTCTCTAACATGGCCATTTAATTGAGTTAGGCCTGTGATGTCTGTATGTAGAAACAGCTGGAAAAGCTCATCTCTGTTGTTTTCTTCTCTTTCTTCTTACAGGAAACACACAGTCTATTATGGAGGATTCCACAGCAGCCATCGTGTCATCATCTGGCTGTGGGACATCCTGTCCAGTGACTTCAATGCTGAAGAGAGGGCTATGTTCCTTAAAGTGAGCCGTCCTTTGTCACATTCAAAAGCATTTCATTTCTAACTCAACTTGGTTTAAGTGTTTTCTCTTATTCTTTGTGTTCTTACAGTTTGTTACCAGCTGTTCAAGGCCTCCTCTTCTAGGTTTTGCCTACCTCAAACCACCTTTTTCCATCCGTTGTGTGGAAGTTTCAGATGATCAGGTGACTCTGCTTACAAACTGTTTGTGTTGAAGCTGTCATCCGTGTGCTACGTTTGTACTAACAGAACATTTCCTGTGACCAGGACACTGGAGACACGCTTGGCAGTGTTCTGAGGGGTTTTTTCACTATCCGCAAGAAGGAACCCGGTGGTCGACTTCCCACTTCGTCAACATGCTTCAACCTGCTCAAGCTGCCTAACTACAGCAAGAAGAGCATCTTGCGGGACAAGCTGCGCTATGCTATCAGTATGAATACAGGCTTTGAGCTGTCCTAACTCAGCTGCATCGGGACAATCTGCACAGGAGGCTTGGGTTCAACAGTGTGAACCATGCAAGAGGCTCGGCTTACCTGGACTGGAGCCTGTCACGTCAAGGGGACTCATGAAGGACCCACAAAGTCTCCTTTTGTCTCTTTAAAACTGGAGGAGCTCAGCTCTACTACAGCTCACACCTAAGGGGATGGTGTTTCTGCAGCACAATCCAATTTTGAGCATCTCCCCTGCCACTCCAGAAATTCAATATGTTGTGTATTTAACCTGATGAAATTAGGATATATAGTGGCTAGATCTCTGTTTCTCAGGCTTAACAGAATCCTTCTCGGAACTAACACTCCCGTTTGAAGTGAACTGGAAAGCAATACAGATGCAATGCAAGCCATTAGACACATGGTCAACTCCCTCGAGTAAAACCAAGCGATGTATTGTTAATATACTTACATGTTTGGACTCCATTATCCAAGCAACTTTAAGTTAATTTAGGACGAGTCTTAAAATGTTTTGCTGAACATAATGCATCTTTTATAAATGGAAGACAAATCAACCTCCAGGAAGGAGGAATGGCTCACAGCCACTGTGTGTGATCCTGTGTCAATTACATTAAGTCCCTTTTCCAAGAAAATCCCTTCATTCCATTTCTCCCCCACCAAAAGACACTGTAGTCACCTGAGAGAAATGTTGACCCACTGGTTTGTTTGTCCTCAGTACCTTTGAAAACCAAACATCTGCCTCAGTTGTGGTGAAGCAGAAAAAGGATCTCTTCTCAGAAAAAAAAATCTGATCAGCTGATGCTTGATTTAGATAAGATGCTCCGGAACTGGAAATATTTTGTCTTTTTGTCTCTGTTCAGTTGAGAAGAACGCAGCCCATAAATGTCACTTGTGTTCTTGACCTAAAAAAAGAAGAGTTAAGTCAATCGATGATGCTAGTCTTTGTACGTAATGTAAAGAGGAGGATTTATCACTACACCTTTCAAAAATGCTGAGTGCCTCATGTTTTGCCCCCCCCCCCCCGTCTCTCGCTGTCAAGTCTGACTGTATTTCAGCTGTAACCAGTAACCACGTATATTGGAAACAAGCCATAGAAACGGGGGCTATGTACCTGGACTTCTTCTCTGCTCCTACTAACACGCAGAAACCCAACCACTGTACTACCACTGCAACCACGACAACATCAACCGAGGAGGGTTCAACACAATGCTCTCCTATCTCTGTGGACTTTTTAAGCCATGCTGAAAGAATTTGAGGTGTAAAAAAAAAAAAAAAAAAACCTCAACATGATGTCATGGACTGTTCATCAACCAAATGTGACTGCTTGATGTGATGCTCCCTTTAGATGGAAATCTTGCACACATGTCTGTTATTTGTAGCCGTGAGGAAAAGGGACATGAGAGTGAATGTTACCTTATAAGCCTAAAAATCACTTAACACAGGGTTCAGTTCCAACACAAAGTCAAGGAAGAGACTTTTTAGTCATTTAACCAGAAAGACTACGGCAACTTAAAAAAAAAATTAAGAAAACATCAAAAGTTCTTTATTATGCAAATAATGTTTTCTGTCATTAATGAGCATAAATACTTTTTGTCAATATGTAACAAGCTATAAAACATACTCTGTCATTGTTGCCATGTTTCTAACAAGTAAGATTAAGGCCACTAACAAAACAATATTATAAAAAAGATTATAATTACAACCATTACATATATGAAAATTGGTTGTATTGAAATTTTCCTTCAGTCTACTTTCAGTCTACTCTATTTTTCAAATCTGACTTGCGTCAGGAGGACCTTGCTTCAGCTCCTCATTCGAATCTCTTCAAGCAAAAAAAGTGGAAACTGAATGGATTCACAGCACACCATGCTGAGTGTGATGTGCTGTAGAACAGATGAACGATACCTCACAAGCTTGTGTGTCTTGTCTGATGAGATGGCTCATCTGTTTTAAACGATGTCAAGAGTAGGGTATACTTAAATTGTACTAGTGTGGACTGCTGAAGCAGATTTTTGTTAATGCAACATTTTTAGTACAAAAAAATAAATGATCCTGGTAATGTCCACACCCTGCCTGTGAAAGTTTTATCTCTTTTTCAGTGTCTTTGAATCTGGCTGCACTACAGGAAGTGTGTTGCTGTAAGAGATCTCCATGTGTAAAATACTTTTTTTCCTTGTAATGTTAAATCATGTACAACAGCATTATATAAATCATTTCTTTAATCATTTACAGATAATGGGTGTTTTTTCCTTTCTCCGAACACTCTGACATTCCTTATCGCAATTTAAAAATTAGTCTACGGTTAAAACTTGCTGAGTGTGGGAGGGTCAAGGGCGGATCCAGGGGTGAAGACAGGAGGTACTTGCCCCAGCTGAAATCTGATTGGCCTCTAAAGAGCCCCTGTCCTGTCACTCACCAACAATACTTACAATAAATAAAAATGTCTAACCTTTTTGAAGTACACCATGTGCTTGAACAAGGAATAACTTATACTGAATATATTAAATGCTGTGGCTTTTTTCAAAGCTGTAGAGCTGATATTGAACAAGAGAGGATTTTAGTATGCACCTTTCTGAATCAGGGATTATTCATGGGTGTTGGACCTATAATTGGCCCCTCTGTGGAGATGTGGCCCCTTCATAGCCCAGACCAGCCACTGGGGAGGATGGTCTAAAGTCTACTGTGGCGCTACACGTGAACACTGAAGTTTTGTTGCTCTGATAAGAATCAAAGTCATGTAAAACATCATCAGGAGGCTGAGAATGTCTCACAACGACCACGTCCTCTTGTTCTACTGGATAATACGCATGGGGAATCATGCGTAAATGCGCACGCCTGAGTCTTATTCTCCATTGTGCTCAGTCCTTGCACCGTTCGAGAGTCCTCGCGCGAGGTGAGCGGCATCGTGAGGATTTCTACAGCAACGTGTTCACAACAACAGTCTGAGCTGTGTCAACCTGGACCTGCGGAATAAAGCACCATGAACAACCCGCCAAGCCCTTCTCCTGCCAGGTGGTTCAAGGCGCTGCGCAGGTAGGACCAGTCATTTGTGATGGGATCGTGTCAACTTCAAAAACAAACAGGATTTATAATTTTTCAGGTTTGTGTGTGTGTGTCTCTCTTTCTGTGTGTTCGTTTTAACTGAGCTCAATATAAGAATCATTTCAGTTTAGACAATTTTTAATCTTTGAAATGAAAGAATCATCCTCTTGTCTGATCCTTATTCAAGATTTTAAAATTGTCCTATATCTGTCTCCATCCACTAATTTATCTGTCTTCAATAATGAGATTTTGAGATCAAATTAAGATCCAAAAGAAAACTTGCTTGCCTTAAAAATGAAGCCCATACACACAATATCTGCAGTTTGTCTCAGTGATCAAATTCAACTTTAGAGAAAACTCTGAGAAGAACTCCTAGTGGACAATTTGTCTTGTATTTATCTTGACAGATATGAGAATTAATCATCTTCAAGTAAGAAGAAGGTGTGTTTCTCATGAAACGAGGAGAAAAAATGTTCCTTTGTGGGGGACAAAAGCCCTGCAGGTTACGTTTAAGATATAAATTGTGGTTATGTGAAGATTAGGATTAGGCATGAATTAGTCATAGTCATAGTCAAAGCTCTAATAATGTCCTCTGCACATTGCATCTTACACAACTCTATTATCCTATTCAATAAGTGGTTGGGCTAAGATCAGACTCCAACTTTCTTGGGTTCAGTCATACAAGGTTATGTGGATCAGCTGATTGGCTCAAGTCAGGATTTCCACTATCCTCCCTGCCAGTGGGAGGCTTAAACGCACAGTAAACACATTCACAAAGACCAGCAGTAGAGAAATATTGACAGGAATAAGCATGAGTAGGAAAGCGAGGGCGTGTAATGCTTGTCAGAGGAATGGACGGTTAACATGCAGAAGGTACTGTGATGACATGGATTATCCAAAGTGTTTAATTGCTTTGTAGTATTAAAACTAGTGATTTGGCCGCTGTTTCAGGACCAGGCTCGGGGAGCCGTGTTTAAAGACGTACCCTCTGGAGTGTGCGGCTCTGCTGAGACGGGCCAGAGTTGCTTTTCAAGCTGGACGCACCCTCAAGGAGAGCTTCAGACTGGCACAGCTGGAGGCAGTGGTGCAGATGCTGGAGGAGCACGAGTGTGACTTTGTGGATGCTCTTGGAAGGGACCTTCATAAGGTGAGAGGGGGAGGAAGCAGTCCCCTGTTAAGTGTTAAGAAAGTTGATATGATCCAAAAGTAATACGTTGGCATTTTTAACCAGCCACGGTTTGAGACGGTCGTGTCAGAACTGATGCTCGTCAAGAATGAGGCACTTCACGCCATCAACAACCTGAAGAAGTGGATGCAGCCGCAGCATGTGGAGAGAAACCTGGTGAGACTTATCTGTTTGGTTAAAAAAAAAAGCATTTTCTTTTCAAAACCATTTTCATTATATTATTGGGATTAGTCACAACTTGCAAAACCTTTTTGGAGAGAACATTCCGTCTCCCGCCAACAAAGAACTGTACTGTGCTGAGCTCGCCAAAGCAGATTAAAAACTAAGTTGCCTTGACCTTTTTATAAGAATAAAGTGGGCTGACGACTTTTCCTCTCCGTGCCTTGATACTCTGCCAGCTTCTGTTTCCACCTCATGTTGAGTTTGTGATTGGTTTAGTCCACCACGCTGGACGAGTGTCTGGTGGTCAGTGAGCCGCTGGGCGTGGTGTTCATCTTGGGGACCTGGTGCAGTCCTGTCCAGATGTGTCTGGTGCCGCTGGTCGGGGCCATCGCAGCAGGTGCAGCAAACACCTTCTTTAAGTCAGTTTTTCTTCACACAAGCTGAAGGTCTGACAGAGACTAATCATCTCCATTCATTTGTGCAGGAAACTGTGCAGTCATCAGTCCACATGAGTGCACCGCTCACACATCAGAGCTCCTCCATCGTCTTGTCCCTTTTTACCTAGACAATGTGAGTAATTTCAAGTGAGCTGTGAGGATGGGTTGCCAAATTTTCTCAAGTTACAGTAAAGGTTTTATGTCTCAATGTTTTGTGTTTTTTAATCTAATTTTGAGTCTTGAGTAAGTATAATCTGATGGATTATGTTGTCATGTATTGTTATTCCACGCATCACAGATAATGATGTCAGATGTGAGAATTACTAACTTTGGTGGATGCAGTCAAAATAAAACCCTTCTCTCTCACCGTGGCCCACAACAATGTGGCTTTATGACACATTTGAATAAATCTCAAGATTTGACTGTGTGATTTAGAAAGAATGATTCAATTAAGATTTATAGAAGTTGGATGTGAAGTATTTATTTCTATATAGGCTACATCTATTTATTTATTTATTTATGGGCTCAGTGCTGTTTTGTTCCACTCTTATTTTTTTCACTTAAAAAGTATTTTTCACTTTATGCTTGAGCTTGACAAGTCCTATTTTAATAAAATAGATTTTATTGTTATTTATTATTCTCCTCTATCCATAACTGACTGAACTGCTGACTCACACATTATCATTTTGCAGATGTGCTACAATACTCCAGTTAAAGATGAATGATCTGATGTAAAATTCTTGTTTCCTCAAGGAATGCTTCCATGTGATTCTTGCAGGCACAAACGACTTGCCTGAAGTTGTGGAACTTAAATTTGATCATGTCTTCTTCACAGGTAAAGATGAAATGACCTACAAATGTATGAATTCTTCTCAAAGTGTAAATAATGGTTTTTAATCCCTATAGGAAGCAAAGAGGAGGGAAGCAGAATAGCTCAGGCTGCAGCTCGCACTCTCACCCCTTTCACCCTGATTTTGGGAGGCAAGAATCCATGTTATGTGGACCAACACTGTGACATCACCACCACGGCACAGCGTGTTGCTTGGGCACGTTTTCACAATGCTGGACAGAGCCTCGTGGCTCCGGACTACATCCTGTGCCACGCAGTTGTCAAAGCGCGGCTGGTGCAGGCCCTGAAGTGCTGCCTGATGAAATTCTACGGTACTGATCCCCAAGAGTCCCGCAGCTTTGGCCGAATGGTCAATCTGGAGATCTTTAACCGTACAAGAGACATGCTGTGGAGATCTGGCAAGGTGGCTGTGGGTGGGCAGGTGATAGAAGCAGAGAAATATATTGGTAGGAATCCCCTAACTTTAATTCCTCAAAATAAATACATGCAATGTCTGAACCTGTTCCTGATCACCATTTCTTTTGTTCCACCTGAAGCCCCGACAATTTTGACAGAGGTGGCAGAATCAGACTCCATCATGCAACAGGATGTTTTTGGTCCAGTTCTCCCTGTTCTGACTGTAAACGATGTGGATGAGGCAATAACCTTCATTAATAAGCAAGCGAAACCCCTCTGTGTGTATGCATTTTCCACCAACACTAAGGTACAACAATTAAAGTTAAAGCACTGCACTGAATGGCCAACATGCATTCTGACCATGTGCGCACCTTCCTGGCAATGCAGGTTATTTCGAGACTAATGACTGAGACTTCCAGTGGAAGCTTTTGCTCCAATGACTGTGTCCTGCAGAGTCTGATGGTGGCTCTGCCTTTTGGTGGAGTAGGTAAGTCTGTTGTATCACACATTGAATTGTTGGATAACGTTGCTCTGCTATCTATCCACTCTAATAACACTTTTTTGACAGGTGCCAGTGGAACGGGCTCCTGCCATGGCCGCTACAGCTTCGATACCTTCTCCCACAGGAAATCATGCCTGCTACGAAGCATTCAGTTTGAGTGTGTCACCTATCTGCGTTATCCACCCTATGAGGACCGCAATCTGTCTCTAATGACATGGGCCAGCACCTTGTCCCAGAAGAGCCAGGGCTGGTGCCAGATCCTGTGACTTTATGTGGGAGGGCGGTGACACAACCATGTTGAAAGACAAGCTAGTGCCCTCTAGGTTATTGTATTAAAATGAATGAGAAAAATCTGCATTGTAGTTTAATGTCGGTGTGGAATTGGAACTGACAAGAAAAATTGGCTAAATTATTTAATTATTCTCTGGAGAACAACAATAACTGTACATCAACTACAAGCACATATTTGAGGACTACTAACTGTGAAATTAAATAACAGAAAACCAGTATGTTTGTATTAGCTGAATGGTTAATATTTTCCCACTGTTTAGTTTATTATGACCTACATTCTTATGTCAAGTTAAAATAATTTGCATTAAAATAAGATAAACAATTTGAGACCTTGTTCATATTTATTGACATTTAAAAAAGTAAATACAAAGTTTTTGCATCAACCACACCAAAAACAAACTTTCCCTTTACACTCATGCGACACTGGTCATTCAGGTCTTTTGTAGATTGTCTCCTCATTGCCTTCTTTCATGGCTGCATATCTGGCCACAGTGAACAGGTAGTCGCTCAATCTGAGTGAAAAAGTTGGGACATTTTATTATTAGAGTGGTGGAGGAACCATGTCCCTCAACTATTTTAAAGCACAAGTTGACTGACCTGTTCAAAAATTTTGCTACATCTGGATCTGCCTCTCCTGAGCGCACGATTGGAGCAACGCTACAACAATACACAGAGCTGTTAGAGGCCACAATGCCAGTGACACAAGATACAATTTAAAAAACAACAATTCAAGTCATTCACGATGACATTAAAACTGGAACTGACCTTCGCTCCGCTCTCCGACAGACCGTCCGAGCCAAGTGCAAAGCTGCGCTGCTTTTGCCTCCAGACTGTGAAATGGAAAGCAAGAGTGTTGGCCCAACAGTTAAATCTGGATTCAAAATAATTGTAAAATATAAAAAGATACTTGAATGGTCTTACAGGTAAAATGAAGTTGGTCAGTGGAGGGAGATCTTTTGTAAAGTTATCAATCCACGTTTCCAGGTCTGTAATTGGCTGAGCAGTAAATTGTGTTTTCTCTTTTGAAAGCACAACAGAAAAAAAAGAAATTGCAAATTATAAGGACAGAAGATGCAATAAAATTATAGTTTCTCTTGGATTAGATTAGTCTACAAGTGCATACTCGTGTGACTTTCTCTTGCAGATGATCGTGGGGTGGCAATATTGGAGCCCAAATCTTGTAAAATGCACTGTATCTGCAATCAAAGGGGGAAAAAAATGTCAGAAATATAATTCTCAAAATGTAAAATTTCAGCACTGAAGACATGTAACATGAAAATCAAACCTTGTCCAGTTGATATGTGAAGGTGTGACCTTTGTCGAGGCAGAACTCTCTGGCCAGGCTGTAATGTACAATTAAATTCAGTCAACTCAAGTGAGGCAAATAAAAGAACAGGTTTTAAAACAACATGTGACATTTGAAAAGTTGAATATTTACCCTATAGCTGATGACAGCTCATCTGTATTTCCTAAAGCTTGAAAAATATGATCTTCCTTTGGCCTCCGCTCTCCTGTAAATGTGCTTGAGAAACCTTTAAGGGGGATAAATCAAGAACAGGTCAACTCTTTAAAAAAAGAATTTGCCATGAAAGAACAATAATCTGCATTATTTTTCATAATAAATTTGACAACAAACCTTTGTCTCCAGTTTTGGTGTATATTTTGGGTATCTTCTTGTCTCCTTCAGTGGAATAACTGTGAGGGAAAAGGCAGGTATGAAGATTAAATAGAGCGGCCAAGATAAAATAATATTTCACATGTATTTGATGTATATCCAACAATTTAACAGCTGCACAGTATCATGAGAATGTATATTTATGTTTCATTGGGTCTATTAGTTTCAGTTTCACACTGTACCCCACCTCATTATATAGAATCATGCTATTTGTGCTAGAATGGTGCAAATCTTCATGATATACTCTAAACAATCTGTATAGTAGTATATATAAATAATCTGAATAATAGTATATATATAAACTGTGTCGGTTATATCATCTGCTGGTTATATCATTTGATGATGATGATGAGTACATTGAAATAGTGTCCTCCGCCACTTAGACTTCTACACGAGGATCTGATGTTTACATACGTCTCCTTGTGCAGCAGTTAGCCAGCACTCTGCTACATCACACAGTTACATCAGGGGCTTCAACACTTCGCACGAGCATTTCGACAAAGAGTCGGGATGTAAAACTACCTCCTGTGTGAACACAGTGTAATCCTTGTCCGGTGCTCAGTCAGGAGCCTTCCTGTCCGGACAACACAGCGGAGGTGAGCAGGTTTGATGATGAACGAAGCCATAGTTCAAGCTAACTGCTAACAGCTAAAGGTGAATGATCCTGGGTGATGGTTTTTGTCCCTCCGTGAAGCCCGTAGCTTGTGGGCGTTTCCTTTTCATCGCACGATTGGTCAACCTACCGGGTGGTGGGAGAGCACTGGACGCTGATTGGGTAGAAGTTCATCGGTTCGAGTAGTAGCGGTTGCTGATTGGATGCTACAGATCAAACCTCAGTCGATGTTTCCCCCGGTGTGTCAGATGTGTTTTAACGTGGTTTTATCATGTCGCCCTGGATCAGCCTCTTCCCACAGCTTCTCCGTGTTGTCAGGTTGTAGAAATGCTTCTCGGAACTCTTTATATTCATTGAAGTAAAGCTCAGAGCTGAGGGGCCGAGCTGTCAGCTGCCTGTCGCTGCTTTAGAGGATTAGCAGTAGCTAAGGGTGGCTAAGCTAGCTAATAATAACACCAGTGCCAGTGAGACATTGAGCTCCGGGCACGTTTTGGGATTTCTTGTTTCTTCTTCACGTGTCTTGCCACAGAGATGCAGGTCAGGGACTGCTTCGTGTCTGCTCCCGGGAAGGCGATCCTGCACGGAGAGCACGCAGTGGTGCACGGAAAGGTAACACGTGAGGATGAGAGTGGAGCTGACTGTGATGGTTGTGAGTTCATGAGGTTTTTTGTGGAGACTGAAGCTATGTCAGTCTTTATGTCAACAGAAACAATCATACTACTCGAATTGTTGAACTGAGCGGTCCTGAAAATCTGATCACCCCTAAACTGATGTGCCTTATATTTTGTTCCGCATCTGACACTGTTTACAAAACATTACATTTCACTAATCACTAAATCCTGGTATATGCCCTGGAGAAAACGGGTTGTTTTTAATGGAGTGATTCTTTAAGTGAACGCTGAACCCTCTGATCTGTGTGTTTGCTCCTCCACAGGTGGCTCTCGCTGTTAGTTTGAACCTGAGAACATATTTACAGCTGAAGGCCACCGCTACTGGCAAAGTTTGCATCAACCTCCCAAATATTGACACATTCCTCTGCTGGGACGTCTCTGAGCTGAAGCAGCTTATACCGTATTCCTGCGGTAAGAAGGGATGCTGCACACACATAATCAAACACATAACGTAACTACATACTATGTTGTATTTGTTCATCTGAACACTTATCTACAAAACTGTGCTATCACCTAGTTGCTCAGTGCAGTTGAAGGGGCTGTGTGTGAGAGCGCCCAGGTTGATTTATGAACCATTTATTATCCATCCTGAGCTAATTAAACTAGACTTTCTTAACCTTTACTGCAGACGTGCGCTTAATCATGAAGAGTCTCTCTCTCCTCTCTCTCTCCTCTCTCTCTTCTCTCTCTCTTCTCTCCCCTCTTTTCCACCCATCTCTCCTCTCTGCTCACCCCAACCTGTCGATGCAGTCTCCTAACTGCTGCTCATTGTGGGAACTCTTGGGTTTCTCTATAATTTTGAACCTTCTATGTGAAGTGGCTCGAGATAATGTATATGATGATTTGGTGTTATACAAATATTATTGAACTGAATGAGACACATGCAGTTGGTAGACAATGAAATGAGTGTCTTGTGTAATATGTATGACTGATACAGCTTTCCCTAACTGCAGAGTAAACATTTAGTGAGTTACTTGGGTTATAGTGTTTAGTGGATTTTTTTACATTAATAAAGTGATGAGAGCTCAAAAAGATGCAACTGTAACATTAACAAATATTCAACAAATCTACATATCAAAGTGTGTAGTGCTGTGATATTGTACAACTCTGATGTTTGCTGTGTCTTGTCATTGATAACAGCTAAGAGGGAGGAGCTGAAATGTATGAATCCTGAGCTTGTGAGGCGACTACGTGAATTTGTTGGTGTTACTAATGGCAAACTGGATACTTGCAACATGGCCACCATAGCCTTCCTCTACATCTACCTCTCAGTGTTTGGATCAGGGTGAGACAGTAGTACCGTTCTTCTAAGCATTTGTTTAGTTTAGTTTTACAGCTTGTTCATACAATGGCTCCAAAAATCACAATTACACATTACAAACTTTTGGTACAAAATGAGAACCAGAGACAAAACCCAGCAAATATCTCAATGCAGATGTGGTGCCAGCAGTTTCAAAAGAGCAGATATAGAGACATGTTAATGTGCTCCACTTACAGGCAACGGAAAGGAATAGCAATGCTTTTTAATCATTGTGTGTCAGAGAATTTGAGGTGTCAATGATTACATTTTTGTCACATCGATATATAATATATATTAAAGCTGTTGGAACTGTTAAAACTGCAGCAGGTTATACTTTGTTTGGCTGTTGGTGGTGCAGGTATAACAAGTCTTCCAAAAGTGACAGTAACAGTTACTCTACCTTTTGGACAACTCTGCAGTCTGGACCTGAATTTGTGAGTTTACATTTGTGCTGCAAGCCAGTTCAAGTCTAATTATGCTATACTTCTTATGTGTAGAGATGGTGTACTGTGATGTGAACTTGAGTGTATCATAGCTGGTTTATTTGCCTATAACATTTTGTGCTCTGCACTGTGAAATAAAACAACTGTATATTATCTAGCTTTTGTGTCAGCTAAATGATGCAAACAACATAATAAAAAATGTAAACAACATTAGCACAACACAAATAAGGTCACGTCTTGAAGTTTTATTACAGTGCTGTTTCTGCCTCACTGCTCTCATGCAGTCACTGTTCCAGTGTAGTTTTCATCTCTTAGCTCTTTACAAGTCTGTTTAAAATGCTCTATCTGCAGTAATGTGCTTCTTCTTGGTGAAAACATATTCAAGAAAGAAGCTGTGAAAAAAATCCCTCTACTTTGAAATGAAGTTAGTAAAGAGAGACAGACAGGAAGACCGGATGTTAGTTCTAGCGGCTGCGGCAGCTGCAAACAGGGGAGAGGCTCTGGAACATTAGAGCTGCAGGTTGTTGGGAGGTTTAATCGGAACTGACACGATGCTGGCGTGTCTGAGAGAGGTGATGGGTTCTGACAGTATGACCACTAATGAGAGTCTGGCACTGGGCCACACTGCAGCCTTTAACAAGTCTGGATGTGTTTTTCCCTTGAGAGAAGAGCCAGACAATTAGTTTAGAGTATTCTCCTGTCTGCCCAAAAGCAGCTGGCCTGACAGACATCGACAGCAGTCTTAAGCAAGCTTCTGTTGCATATATGTAGTGTATGGATTGCTTTACTTTACAGTTATGTAAGGGTGGTATATAGGGGTTATTGTAATAGTTTGTGATTGTTAAGAAGTTGATACGACAAGTTATTTATTTATTTAACTTAATATTTTGTGTGTAAAAAGGCATGATAAGTGATAGTAATAACTAGTTTAAATTCTAAAGAGAAATTCTCAATTGTGTTTTGTTTTTCCAAGGAAAGTTTCTATGGCCTGTGCAGTAAATGTTTTTATTTTGTCACTGTAAAAATCATCTGTTATCATCTCTTAATAATGTAAATAATGGTTATTAGTCATATGCAGTATTTAAGTCATAGAAGCTCAATTTTCATGTTTATTTTCCCAGCGAGCTGCCCAGCCTGACGGTGTCTGTGTGGTCGGAGCTGCCGACTGGAGCTGGCCTGGGATCGAGTGCTGCCTTCACAGTGTGTTTAGCTGCAGCTCTGCTCTGTGCAAGTGGAGACATTCCCAGTCCACTCAAAGAGTTGGATCACACTGCCAGGTAAAAAATAATAATAATACAAAAAACCCCACATTGCAATAAGATCTCCAGCTTTGAAGCTGTGTATACAGTCAGCAGGAACAGTTGTTTTTTTTTTTTCTCTTAAAAAGCATAATTATATAACAAACCAACACAGAATCTTAAAGGAACAAAGAGAAATGAAGTTTACAGGAACACCAGTAAATCGAATATTAGATTTTTATTAAAAGATTCCACCTTTTTGTACTGTAATTTTCTTTTTAAATGAAATTACACATGTTGATGGCATTTGTACCATGCAATTTGTAACATTTTAGATCATTTCTTGTTATTGTTACCATCTATGTTTATCTTGGGTCAAATATCGAATATTTAATGGCATAAAAACATCATCATTTTAGGAAGAAAACTGTCTTCTCTTTAAAATCAAATAAATATATATAAAGGTTCAGAAGTTTTGCCGGTCATGCTGAAAATCCTCTGATCTTGTGCAGAATCAAACTGCTTCATCAAAAACATCTGTATAACCATTAACTGAACATTCATCTGTATGTCCTGCTCTTATACCAGTGTTTGGTGTGGAGATAAAGTGATATTAGAGTTTGGGTCAGAGAGTCTGTTGGACTTTAACATTCTTCTATTCACTTTAAAATGTGTACAGGTGGTGCCAGGAGGATCTGGAGCTGATCAACAGCTGGGCTTTCCAAGGGGAAACGATCATCCATGGTAATCCTTCAGGAGTGGACAACGCTGTAGGAACATGGGGTGAGGCCTGAAATCTTTGCTTTATTAGCACCTGATCCTTATCTGTTTAATGATTTTGATTTCCCTTTTACGTAGGAGGCATGCTGAGATTCTTGGCTGGAAAGATTATACCACTGAGCAGGTACTGACATTTATTAACTTTTTAAAATTGTATTCCATTTAAAGTGAGTAATGAGTGAATTCATAAAATTATAATGTTTTTTTTTTCCCTCACAGAAAACAAATTCAAATACAAAGTCATGGTAAAATAAGTGCAGGTGAATAATGTGTGAACTCTGTGATCTGTCTGCTTATTTTCCAGGGTGCCGTTATTAAGAATCCTCCTCACTAACACAAAAGTACCACGTAGCACCAAGGTACTTGTTGCCGGGGTGAAGGACAAAATTAACAAGGTACTAAATGGTTTCTTCCTCCCCCGTGTGTTACATGCCAGCGCTGTAATTAATATAATAGGCGGTGCTTTTGCATGGCAGATACTCCAGAGTCTGGTGTTGAGTGCCTTCATAAAATATTGAAATTAAACTCTTAGCCAGCACCCCTGTGTGCTGTTGCCTTGGTGACACCAGCAGGTGTGCAGTTCTCTGCCTCAGTCAGTGATGGGCCTGGATGGTGTTGTGGCAGTGTTGTGATCAGGCAAGAGCACAACTGA